AATGCGGCCTCGCGTCTCCTAGTCATGGAATGAATGATAGATACCTACCTATATATCCTGCTGTTCTATGTATAGGGTGTCCTTCTGAAGGGAGAGGGGAGGGGGCAGTTCTTGTGGGTAATTACTTTTATAAATAAAATTGCTTGAGAACCATGTGCCGCAGTGAAGAAGCTATGTGTGTTATTGTCGCAGCTTCTCATGGAAACTTCTTAAACTCGCTGCTTCATTTACTGGATATCGCTTCAGGATGTCTACATCGTTGGTGCCGCTCGTACTCCCATTGGCTCATTCCGATCTTCATTAGCAAGCCTATCTGCGCCTCAGCTTGGAAGCATCGCCATAAAAGCTGCTGTTGAAAGAGGCGGACTGAAGCCGGAAGATGTTCAGGAGGTATATACATAGTTCATAATGAATGTGACACAGTTCGATAGACATTTTATAGGTCTTCATGGGTCAAGTATGTCAGGCCAACTCTGGTCAAGCTCCTGCCCGGCAAGCTACTCTTGGCGCTGGTCAGTCTCCTGCTTATGATTTTCTGTAGTACTTTGTTCATCGCGTACCTGAATGTTTATTGCTACGATTTTTGCTCTGCTCTTCAGGTTTGAAAACATCAACCATCGTTACCACCGTGAACAAGGTGTGCTCGTCTGGCCTGAAGGCAATCATGCTCGGTGCTCAACAGATCCAGACTGGAACTCAAAATGTGAGTTTCAACTCAGAGAGCCGCGGGGAATTTCGTCCAAAATTTGCGGAAATTTTGAATGCACTTAGGAGAGGGGAGTCTACATTGCACAGTTGTTCAAAGAACCTCTAAAGAATTGTTTTCGAAAGTGCGCTATCTGATTTTTTGAGAGAAACATGGGGTGAAGGCCAACATTGCTGTGTGATCTGTCATCAGCAGATCTCAGAAATTGGTGTTTTACTTACACTAAAAAAGGCAAGAATGTTCGAATATGTATTCCCTTATATTCTTTCTCACATATCTTCCCACTTTTTCGGCGCTATTATCATTAAAGCTCTGAGAATTGCTTTTTACTTGTGAAATTAAGTTCGTTTAGGTCGTGATTGGCGGTGGCATGGAAAGCATGTCTCAGGTTCCCTTCTACTTGAACCGCGGTGACACCACTTACGGAGGAATACAATTAGTGGTCAGTTTGTAGATATCTTGCTCAGATACTGCTGGGTGTATAATCCCGTTTATGGATGAAATGATTGGGCTTACTTGTTCTTCGAAATTCACCCAGCCATTTTAGGACGGAATAGTGAAAGATGGACTTACAGATGCTTATGATAAAGTTCATATGGGTAATTGTGGAGAAAAAACTGCAAAAGAGTTGGGAATTGGCAGGGAAGCGCAAGATGATTATGCTATAAGTAGCTACAAGAAAGCTGCTGCTGCCTGGAAGGTATTTCATCTAACGAAATATTTAACATTCATTTTGGTATGCTTCTTCAGAATGGCATAATGTCAGCTGAAGTCGTACCTGTCGATGTAAAAACCAGAAAAGGCACTAATGTTGTGGACCATGATGAAGAGTACCAGAAGGTTAACTTTGACAAGTTGAAACAGTTGAAATCAGTATTTCAGAAAGGTAAGCCTGTCTGTCGTCTGTGCGTCCATTATTCATTTCCCACTTTCTTGTATCTTCCAAAACCTTCTCCTAGATGGCACAGTAACTGCTGGCAATGCTTCGACGCTGAATGATGCTGCTGCGGCTGTACTGCTTGTTGGTGACGACGCCGTGAAGCAGCACAATCTGAAACCCATGGCAAGAATATTAGCATTCGCCGATGCTGCTTTACATCCATTAGACTTTGCTCTTGCACCACCACTTGTAGTGCCAAAGGTCAGGGTTTTGAAATATTTGATTTTTATTCTTTCTCTATCAATTCGCAACTCGCATGAAAGGCGATTGTGGGAAATAAAGGAGCAGTGACGTTCATATGCAGAATCTCTTTTGATTGACGAGCTAGCTCTTACTCGAATCTGAACTTCTGGTCTCTCCGGAATTGTAAGGTCGCTATCGCACTTTTCTTGAGGCTGGTCTGATATGCTGTTTTGCGCACGTTATCGCTAGCTGGCTCGTCACCTGATGGTGCGACACCTAGAGGATCGAGTGGTCGCATTGGCGTTCGAATTGTAGCGTTTTACTGGGGCGCCGACACTATTGTGAGGTCAACGAGGAAAATCCTAGAGTTCTCATAATGTGTTTGAGGTAATAACGTCTGAGAAGTCCCACACAGTTAAGTGGGTTACCACTACTCTCTTGGTAACTCTATATAAAATTGGTATGTGCCCAATATCTGTGAAAATATAATAATAGAAAATACGTGATTGAAGAATTTTTGCATGCTCCATAATTGTGATAACGTGAACCTTTCCTTGGCGCTGGTTCAAGAATCTGCTCGCTAAAATTTATGAATTTGTTATTCGATGAAACGTTATATGTAGGTAACTTTCTAGGCGCTACCGACCATCTAGATGTAGAGGTACTTTTTGATTCCCCATCTTTGGAAATATGCTGATCTGTTTCGAATCGAGCAGAAAGTTTTATGCAGATGTGGTTTTTGTTGGAGATAAATCAAGCTGATCTTGGTAATCTTCTAGCTGCTGAAAATGGCGGGCTTGAAAATGGAGGACATTGATCACTGGGAAGTGAATGAGGCGTTTTCCGTCGTTGTGCTGGCGTTCATCAAGCAGGTTGGATGTGACCCGGAGAAGG